ATATATATATATATATATATATATAAAAGCGCTTGTTCAACTACTTTGTAACTATCATTATGTTGGGTGTTGCTATCTAAATTAAAATTTGTAACTCTGTCGAAATTGCAGCACTTGGTCCACATTAGTAAGGAAGGGGCATATTTTGTCATTTTTTTTGTAAGGATGGAACCCGAAGCCACTATATAGGTGTACTTAACAAATCTACACTTTCGTATAATAACTTACAAACTACATACGAGAAACATAAGCTATACTAGGCTAACTATATTAGATAAGCTTGATCTAGCGACCTTTGTATGTTTCTCTCTTTGACTCTTTACTAACTTGACTTTTGAGTGTCTGCGACGGAGTAAATCATTGGTGCTTTGCAGGAAAACATGTCTATTGCCCGAGAAACGATTACCAAATAAACACGATGAAGACAATAAATATTATGTAAAAATGAATTATCAATTATCAAATTATTTATAATATTTCTTGATTGGGTCGATTGACCTCATAAAATAGCATTGAAGTATTTAAGGCCTAAATGCAATTCGTTCATTCACAATTGGTTTACTAAAAGTGACAACCTCCATTCTGTCTCAAAGATATTGTACATACATCAAACATATATCTACCGAGGGATCCACCATATTTAATTTATCAGTGCAGTATTCGAGGAAAATATATATGCATTTTTTTTTATTGTTATATCGGTTTGTTTTGAATTAATGTTTCAACAATTCATCACATTATAATAAAAAAATAATAATAATCATACATTATCAATATTCAGTTATCAAATTGTTTGAACTTATATGGATAGAGATTCTAATTGCTAGATGAATATAGGCGTAGGTCCTTTGACCCAAAAAAATAATATAAATAAAATAAAATAATTAGTATATATACATAAACACCCTCAATTAATAAGAAAACAAATCTCATTTATTTTCTCTCCAATGTCACGTTTCTCTCACCCTATATTTAATCACCCACCTCTCTTCCTCTGTATCTAATCTCACGCCTCTTTCTCTCTCGTTCTTCTTCGCTTTTTTTTTTCTTCTCCTGTTTCTTTATTTTTTTATGAGAAATATCATAAGGAGAAAACCAGGGATGTGAGATCATTTATTGATGAAAACTTAAGAGGAAACAACATCCCTCGCTCTCTAAAAAATTTAGAAATCCAAAG